TGTCCATCAGTATGAGACTGGTTAAATAAGTTATGGTCTATCCAACCATAAGTGCCCTTTAAAAAGCATGAAGTAGATCTCCATGTGCTGATATCTAAAGATTGCTAAGTAATATCATATAGTGAAAAAAATAAAAAAATAAAAAACAAAGTGCAGAACAAAGTGTATAGTAAAATTCCTCTTGTGTAAGTAAACATGCATATATGGGACATAGACTTGTTTGTGGTTTTTGTTACTGAAGGATATATAAGAAACTGCTCAATGTTTATCTTTATAAACTGCAACAGCTCTACATATTTAAAGTATTACTAATAACAATGATAATGTTATCAGTTAAGGGCTGATTGCCCTTGTCTGTTCTGATGTCTTGTTTCTTTTGTGACCTTCAATATTGATATATTGCTATAATAAGGAGGTAACGTGAATGAGCAGAAAGTGGATCTGAGTTTAAATCATACACTAACCAAGTGATCTTGTGCAAGTAACTTCACTTCTCTGGATCTCAGTGTTCTCACTTTTTAAATGGGATAGTAGGACTAGCTATAAAATTTGGTGGTTCTATTTAACTTGCACATAGTGTTTATAATCTAAGGAGACACAGACATGCAGAAATACACCAAAACAGAAAAAGGAGTAAAGAACATATACTAACTCTCACCAAATACTTTTTAAAAATATTGAAAATTATTTTTTAGTTTTGGGAGGAGGGGAGGGTCAGAAAGAGAGGGAGTACACAGAATCCAAACAAGACTCCAGGCTCTGAGCTGTCAGCACAGAGCCCAATGCAAGGCTTGAACCCACAAACTGCAAGATCATGATCAGAACCAGAGTTGGACGCTTAACTGGCTGAGCCACCCAGACACCCCAACAAATACTTCAAAGCACTCCCTTCACTAGTACCTTTCTATGGGGAACAGAAGAAGAAATAACCTGTCCTTGGAATATTTTCTAATTTGGTATGAAAGAGAAAACATATCTGCATGAAAAAACTGGAAAATAATATGAGGTGACATATGAACAACCTGGATTTCTTTCATTGTTATGCAGCTCATGTTAAAATATTACTCACCTGAAATTCAAGAAAACCATACTCAGCAGTAAAAGTAAAACCCAAGTCCCTTGGCCACATTTATACTGATCTGTAAAATAAAGGGTTAGACAGATGGTCACTGAGTTCCTTGGCAGTGATAAAATTCCATGATTCTACAATCTCTGAGAGCAGATCCAAACTGAAGAATTTATTTTCCCCTGACACCAGATCCCTCCCTATTCAGTAAAGTCTTCATTTACAATTTAGGACTTTGATAACCCTGTACAACTCCTGTGCACAAAATTCCCCAAAGACAGAGCCAAAAGGAAGGTGCTACATAAGGCAGCCCCATTGTTTCTCTTGGCTCCACCCTGTCTGGGCAATGCAGTTGGACAGGGAACTTAGCTGGGGGCAACCAGGTGGCTGTCTGGCCTGCCTCCTCACAAAGGCCCCAGTGAGCATGCAGACCAGAACATCACAGGGGCTCTGAGCAGGTCAGACTTGACGCCTAACTTGACCCCATCGGCAGCCAGAGTCTGATAAAGACGTGATTGAACTGAGGATTTCTTCCTGACAGTTTAACGAATGGCTATAATTAGGGGGCCTGCACTGAGGGTATGAGATACATAGACTTCATTGTAGGGAGGCTAAGTGCTAGAAAGGTCAAGGCCAAAATATGGTATGAAAGAAGCTCAAAGTTTTCCAATATGAAGGAGAAATGAATTTGTGAGGAAATGGGTTTACTAAGCATGACCAAATGTACCCATTTCCTGTCAGTTCCTGGCCCCAAATTGTCATCAATGGTGAGTCTTTGTAGTGGAGCTTCGACCCTTAAGTTGTGTCTTCCGAGACTAGCTCTATAAAGGTGGAGCAGAGAAGATGCACTTTCTAGCTTGAGAAGTTATCATTGGGAGGTCCCAGGAAGAAATGGACTTCATTTTCTTCTTCTGAAACAAATTAGGAGTGAACGATGAAGGAGTGGATAAATAATAATGACGATGACAACAATAACCAAAACATGCCTGTAGATTTTTAATGTTAAACTTAATCAATATTTGTCATGTCTGTTTATGCTTCATTGTCAAAATGATGATTAATGAAAGTGGCTTTAAGCCTAAAACACTTTCTGAGGCTTTTTAGGCCTTTTTCTTAGAAATAAGAAGTCACAGTGTGCCAGCCATAGTAAGATCCAACTTACAATGATCAGAAATACAGTGAGTAATGGCAATAATGTCCTCATAAAGGAAAACAACAACTCACAATTTGGACAGAAACCTGGGGAGTCAGTGAAACTCCCAACTATGTAGGGGTTAGAGGCTGGACTTGAAGATTCACTTACCTGGTCTCAGCACTGGTAAATTCATTTCTCAGTGAAGCTGGTAAAGCAGACATCTTGAAGGATATTTATCAAAGAATTACATAATCCCAGTGTTGGCAGGGATTGTGTAGGCCACAGAGTCCAGAGCTTGCACTGTGTCTCCAATGTTCCTGCCAAGTAGCTGACCTTCCGTTGTAAGGATTCTGGTGACCGGATGCTCTACCAATGCACCGCCTATTCCAGTTTGGGCAGCCATGAGTTCAAACAAAACTCTTCCCAATATTGAGTTAAATCTGTATCTCTCCATCTCTCACTGATTGGTCCCATTGTGCCCCTTGGGGTAGCATAGAATATAGCTAAATCCTTGCTATGTAGTAACCAGGCCTAGGTGCATGATTGGTGGGGCCTGTGCGAGATGAAAACATGGGGCTCCTTTTTACCAATTATTAAGAATTTCAAGATGGTAGCAGCAGAGCATTAAGGCAAGCCCAGGCCCTTCTAGGTGCAGACCTCTGTAGCTGCTCAGGTAACCACACTTTACAGAAGTATTTCTGAGGGGCTGCACTTGGTAGGATACAAACAAGAAAGAACTTCATTTTTCCTCCACTGTGTGTTAAATTCTTTTTTAAAAATGTTTATTTATTTATTTTGGGAGAGACAGAGACAGCACAAGTTGGGGAAGGGGCAGAGAGAGAGGGAGACAGAGAATCCCAAGTATGGTCTACACAATCAGCACAGAGCCCGACATGGGGCTCAAACCCACGAAACCGTGAGATCACGACCTGAGCCGAAACCAGGAGTCAGACATGTCAGACACTTAACCGACTGAGCCACCCAGGTGCCCCATGTGTTAAATTGTTTGATTCCTTCTTCATTTCTGAAGATCCCATAGAATGTTCTGGTCATTTTCTGATGTTAAAAAGTCCAGTGTAATCTTTTACCAAACTCTCCCTTACCCTGTCAAGGCCTGCTTGGGGCTGTGAAGCCTACAGAGATCTGCTTCTCCTCTTTGTCTTGCCCCCTGCCCCCCCACCGCAGCCTACTCACCCTTCCTGCTCTTCCTGGCTCCTTCAGGGAGAAAGGTGGTAGGGAGAAGAGGCCTCCTTACTTGATGGGTGCAGATGTGACCTGGCATAAGCATCCTGGATGTATGCACACAGTGCAATGAAGAGAGCATAAGAGGAACGGAGAAAGCCGAAAGTAACATCTAAGCTGAGCCCCGACAGGTGGGTAGAAGTTATCCAAATTAAAAAAGGGCCTGTAAGGAGATAGATGTGGGGAATCATCTAGCAGAGGGGATAAATTGTGCAAAAGCTGAGCTTTTGGAGAAATGCAGGTCCTGTATGCACTGCAGGGAAAGAAGGGCTTGAGTGCTCATGGCCTGGGGGAGGCTGAGTGAGGGGGTTCACGGCAGTGAACAGTGAGGGTGGAGAGTAAGTAGGACAAATTCACGAGAAGCCTCCGAAAGCCCTGTGAGGATATGGGAACAGGAAGCCATTGAAGGGTTTGAAAAGGGTTTTGAAATGAGATTTAAGATTTAGTAAAAGCACTCTGGCTTTGAGTGACTGATTGACCCAAGACCAGAGTCAGAGAGACCAGAAGGAGATTAGCTAGTAAGGGGACAGTAGTCTGAGTGGGTGCAGTAATCAGCATATGATTCAGTGTCTTTGTGAATTTCAGTTCTCCCTCCAGGAAAGGAAAGGGATTTTGTGAGTGTCCACTGTGAGCTGGACACTTCACTCATATCATTCACTTATGTGCCTATAGAAAGTGTGTGTGAGCGGTCTAACTGTACTCATCTTATTTGTAGGTAACTGAGGTTCTGTCAACCTTGGTGGCTGGCCTCCAGTCATGGAGGAGTAAATAAATGGCAAAGCCCGGGTCTGTGTGACCCCCGTTCTTCCTCTCTTTATGGTAAAACGTCACATGCAATCTGGTGAACCATCAGTCCCTGTCAGCTTTGGGTGTCTGGCAAACCTACAGAAAACAAACCTCTGCTATTTTTGGTGTCACATGATAAACACACACAGAGCAGGAAGCTGCTATTCCTCTGGGACACAACTGCTCCCCTGCAGAGTGCTGGGCACACACAGGCCACTCAGGGCCAGTTCTCTTTCATCTCCGGCCCCAGACCCCCAGGTCCTGCAGCCGCCCCAAGTCCTGCAGGCTTCCAGGTGAGCTGAACCTTCACATATCACTCTGGTTAGACATTTGTTCAGTTATTCTTTTCCACACTCAGTTGTGTTTTATGTTCAACTTGAATCTGGGTTCAAAGTATTTCACGAGGTGGTCTTGGATAATAAACTAAAGAGATCAAGAAAAGCAGGGACATTCTAAACAAATTGGGCCTCAAATCATATAATTTTATGTCATGGTTAAGTCTACAAATACATTCTTGTGTTGCCTTTCCTCTCTGCTTGGGGTCATCATAATACCTCCTTGTTTTTTTAAGTGAGTTTCTGGATATTTATCCCTAAGACCTGTGCCTTTGAGTTTTGATGCCGTATTTCCCCTGACCCTCCTAGAATCCTCTCTTCCCAGGCTACAACATTTTCCACATCTTCTCATATCCGTTAGTCCATGGCTGTCCCTCTCCGTAAAGGTGTCCCCATCCCTCCACCATCCCCTGACTCCCAGAAAGAAAGACACTTCTCAGAGCACAATTTCAGTCCAAACTTCGGGAATCCACAGAGTTTGTGATGGATAGTGGTGTGGGTAATTTGGGTTCTGTACAGCACAATGAGAATTCTCATCAATTTAGTCCTCATGAGAAGATGGCATTCTGCCCCTCATCAACACCAGTGGCAAACAAACAATACCAACAAACCCTCTACTTGAGTTCTTTTGGGAAAAAGAAAATTAAAAGGAGAAGGCCTTAAGGAACATTTTCACCCTCAAAATTGAAGTATTTAGCACTGGAAGTACAGCCATTCCTTATGTTGCCGGCTTCCTTGGGCTATTTCTACAAGATCTCAATGTTGAGATAGTTGTTAGAAGTTGTTAGGGTAGTCATTTGGACGTATGACAAAAGAAGATTTTATACAATAGTCTGGGCAAGTTCTAGGCAAGAGGAGAAATCTGCTTTAAACCCAAAGGAATAAATTTCTAATGGTAGAAAATTTAGGTACCATGCTAGCAGTGGGTGAAAAACTTTGTACAGGAGGCTCCTGCCTCCCAAGCATTCCAGTTTTGTTCTTAGGTGATCCAGACCTTCAGAATTTTCTATCACTTCCATGTAGTTTGTATAAAGGATACAAAGAGTACATGGAGCAGTGGAGATTTGACCCTCCCTAACTCTCAGCGCAAACAGTTGAGCAATTACCTTCAGCAGTAGTGACCATTCCCTGTAGGAACAATGGAAGGGGAGGGGGATTGACTGGGCATTGGCAGATCCTTGAAAACAGGGGCTTGAGTGTTGGAGTCATCAGGGTGCCCTCAGCACAGGGCCGGGGCACTGTGAGACATCTCTGTACGTGTGCTGGCTTCCTCACCAATGAATCTGCAATGGAAAAGAATCAAACCCAAGATCATGGATTCTACCTCTCCAACAAGCAAAAATATGAACAGGGAGAAAGAATATTCTCAATAGAGTTTTCTCCCCAATACCACCAGTTTTTATAAGCATTTCCCCAAGATCCCACAGCCTTCTTGACTCCCCAAAGCTGTAGTGCCATACGAAGCTTCTGTTTTCCAGGCCACAGATGGTATTATTCTCATTTCTCTCTCCTTATTTATTCCATAAAGATTTGGGAGAGAGAGTAAATGTAGGTGAAAGTTATGGGCTTTAGCATCAAACACACCTGGTTCCCTTCGTGGCTCCATCACTTGCCAGCCATGAAATCTTGTGAAAATCCTTTAATAACACACAGCCCCTTCTTTACCTGTAAAGAAATGATAGCACAGATTACCCCAGAAGATCGCTGTACAGACACTGGGGATGGGGGTGGGGGTGGGCAGGTCCTGTGTTCATCACATCACTCGGGGATTCAGGCTAAGGCAGGTCCCATATTGAAGGCAGCTGAGCCGAAAGGAAAAGAGAGTTCTGAGGGGTCTCTCATTAGCCCTGTAAATGGGTAACAGGCCCATTTATGTCTGTTTGGAACCAGTCACATGGTGCTACCCACCACAAAAGACCTGGGAAGTGCTATTCCCACGAGTGCCAGGAAGGCAGAGAGCCGGAAATATTTGGCAATTAGTACCATGTGTAAAGTACCTTGCACTATGACCGGCATGTTCCGAATGCTCCAACCATGCGAGCTGTATTTTAGTTTGGATCTGTTATATATAAAATGATGTTTATGTATCACTTTAGTATATCCCAAATTGTTAAAGGCTAGTAATTAATTCATATATGATGTTCTCCCTTTCAGAAGTACCTACAGTTTAAAAAAATGTTTTTTAATGTTTATATATTTTTGAGACACAGACAGAAGTGAGCAGGGGAGGGGCAGAGAGAGAGGGAGACACAGAATCCAAAGCAGGCTCCAGGCTCTGAGCTGTCAGCACAGAGCCCGACACAGGGCTTGAACTCACGAACTGTGAGATCATGACCTGAGCTGAAGTCGGATGCTTAACTGCCTAAGCCACCCAGGTGCCCCAGAAGTACTTACAGTTTAATAGAAGACTCTTAGAGACATGATATTACAATTCAAGAAATGAATCTTGCCAGGAACTCACGGTAGAAGGAGTCAGGTTTCCTGGGTAGCATGTGAGTAAAGCAGCCAGGGGTGACATTTGCCGTGTGGCACAGGGCACCTGAGTTCTTTGCTTCAGGTCTGGGAATTACTTACCATTTGTTCATTTGTTCATTTTATTCATTTACTTTTTCATCAAACGTTTTTTGCCTGCCTCGAGGCGCCAGGCACCAGGGACGTGTTATTGAAGAAAGCATGGATGCTACCTTCACGAGCTTGCATTTGGTAGGAAACACTGAGCTACAACAATAAAAATGAGTAAATATACAGCAAGTAGATGGTGAGGTGTTTCATCTATGAATGAAGTAAGGGGTATCTGACGTTCCAGTGCTATGGACAGTGGAGGTGTTGCCATTTTATTTGGGGTGGACAGAAAAGGAATCCAGGGAGCAGACTCTGTGGAGATGTAGGAGAAGAGCATTCCAGACAAGGATGCTGGGACCAGCAAGCGCCATGGCTCTGAGAGGAGAACCTTCTGGGCCCAAGGAGAGAGCAGAATGGTGGAAAGAACAGGAATAGGAAACTGGGGCACCAGGGCTTTAGTCTTGGCTCTGCTGCTGGTTTGCAATGGTTCCAGGAGCAATATGCTTGTGAAGATGGGCTGGGAGCTAGACTGCCCCGGTTTGGTCCCCGCTTTGCCTCTTACTAATGAGATGAGCTGGGCAAGTACCTTAACCTCCCTAAGCATCCGTTGCCCCATCTGCTAATATGGGGGAAGCCTCACGCTTCATGCCCTTTCTGGGACAATTAAATGGGTTAATTCACATGGAGCATTGCAATCAGGGCCTCACTCCCTGTGAGCCCTCTTTGAAGTTAGCTGTTTCTATTAGGGCAAGTTGTTTCCCTTCCATGGGGGTTTAGTAGCATTATCTGGAGAGATGGTCTCTCTAGGCTCTCAACTCTAAGATTCTTTGGAAATCTGATGCTAATTTACATGTTATTCTTTGGACTATTTTGCATGTCATTTGTTCCATTCTCACAGATTGCTTGCTGTTTAGTTTAGTTTAGTTTAGTTTAGTTTTGTTTTGTTTTTTACAGTCCTGCCCCCATCACAGTCCTCTTACTGGATGTAACTTCTTTCCAGTGTTGCTGAGCCTGGGGTCCTTCATTTGTTGTTGCTAGACTTCCACTTCTCTCTGCCTCACTGGTGGGCTGTATTCCTTCCCGGAACTTTACATACTTCAGTACACTTAGTTGATTAAAAACATTCTTTCCATAAATTTCAAATATACTGGCAACAATTTTTGTAGCAGAAACTTTGAAAAAATGAGATTTCAGGCTGTTTTCTGTTTGGAGACTAAGCATCTGGGAAAAATGCCATTTTAAATAAGGGTACATCAAGTCACAGACACTCATGGATGGCCCTCCCTGCAACATCGTCCCAGATACCAACAAAGCACTGCACAGCCAGTCTAACTGCCTGCACCCAGCCATAATGCCTGTACAGCAGTGCATTTGAAAGTCTCTCTTATTCTCTAGAACTCATGGCGCACTGCATGCTCCTTCAGTGCTGGTGACCAATTAGTGCTCATTTGAGAAGAACAGGGGGTTTTAGAGTAAATACTAAAACCGGAGATCCAACATCTCTTTCTGTGAATGCAGCAGCCTGTGTGAGAACCCCTGTTTTATAGGCCCTCCGGATCACAGAGTGAATGCATGAACTGGGTACCAGTGATGCTGGGCTTGCCTTCCCCAGCCAGGAGGTCAATCCTCAAAGCGCTCAGAGTAAATCATGCTGGTGAAAAGTGGAGAGCATGTAGTACGATCAGAAAGCCCAGATAGAGTGCCAGCACCACCATTTTTGGGTCATGTGGCCTGGGTCTCCTATTTCTCATCTGTAAAACATGAACGCATACCTTTGTTTTGATAAATAAATGAAAATATGTGCTTTTATACTTTGGTGACTTATTATCTTGCATAAATAATGTATATATTTGTCTTGTTAAATAAATATATGGCTGTTCTTCAATTTTAGATCTTAACAAGTCCATGTCCTAATGAGTTTGTTTTACTTCTTGGTCAGGGAGGAAAGAGAGAGAACAATGGTGGCTAGTGGTGACTTCAGGTCAAGCTAAAACACAGCAGAAGGTGGATATTGGTCCTGTGTCTCCCCTAGCCCTCCTTCCCCCTTGGTAGTTCTTTATCTTCTTTATCTCCAAATGAGCACAGATTTATGCACCTGTAATAAATACATGTATTAGTGACACCATTGGTCTTTGCAATGCTCCCTTTTCAGAGCATTTTGACCACAAAGCCTATAAAGGGACATTTGGACAGGATCTGCAAGCCCCACCTGCCTGGTGTCTGTGTCTTCATCCAGCTCCACTTCCTAACACTACTCACTTACACAAGAGCCCCACTCACCCACTAGGCTATTTTCTGCCTCACTGCCTTTGCCCTGGCTGCCCCTCTGCCCGTCCAAATCTTTACCAACATGACTCCTATTCAGCTCTGATACTGTCTAGAATCACCAGGAATCCTTCACCGATCCATCCGGCTGGTGAAGTCCTCCTCGCATGTGCATCTGTGTGCACCTCCAGACCTCCACTTCCCTCCTCAACCTGTGACTTTCTGATTATGTGTCCTTCCCTATACCCTTCCCCAACCTGAGGACAATGAATTTGTTCAGGACGTGAGCTTTGTCTTTCTTATTCCTGAATTCTATGCCCACTTGGCATTCCTGAATCTTAAGTTATGTTGTTAGAACACATGGAACGTCGAGGAAGCCTTTGGGGCAAAAAGAGTAAGTGATTTCCTTCAAGCCCTCCCAGCAAAATAGCATGGCAGCTGGAACTAGAACCCATGAATTCTGGTTTCTCACCTAGTTTTTCCATTGAATCAGGCTGGCTAGAGCTTGGCTTTACCTCTCAGGGTCGGGTAGCAATGTTTGGCTGGGACAGCCTAAGCATCCCACGTAGGGATTACTCGCAGTCGGCAGGGGTGCTATGTGTCCCCCCAACCAGTACATTCACAGCCCCGACTAAACCGGAACCGCTTCCTTCTTGATGGTTAAGGCAACAGCGCCACCTCCTGGCCTCACTGCCACTTGTAACTGGACTTGAGAGGTCTTGGGCGTCCTCTTGTGGGCTTTGAGAGGATGCAGCGCAAAAGCAACTTGGTTATCCCCAGGTCACGCTGGTTATCCCCAGGTCACTTCCACCTTTGATGTTTGAATTATTCTGTGAGCTTGTGCATTGTAACCAAGCCTAGAGAGGAAGGCTTATAACAACTTAGGATGCAGACAACCAGAGGCATATAAGTTGCCATTCATAGGTGACATGACAGGCTCCCTTGTGGCATAATGTCTAGAGAGCTCCTCTAAGTGGCACAATGTCTAGAGAGCTCCTCTAAGTGGCACATACAGCAGTGAAAATGGTGGTAGGTGGCATGGAAAGAATTGTGGAGAATGATGGGAAGGAATGGGTAGTGAAAAGAAGTGGAAGGAAGGCAAGTGGATGCTACTCTGACCCACACACCCTCCTCCAAGACTGAAATCACTAACAAGGCCATTTAAGAAAATCTGGCCAGAGTGCAAAAAGCTTTTTCTGAGAACGAGTTCCGCAGCATTTCCAGTTACCCCTGTTTGAACTGTTCAGGAACATACTCAGCCCCTGAGTCTTCTCTCTGTTCTGTCGTGTTATTGACAATCATTGACGGCCCTGGCTGGGGCTCAGCTTCAGCTCCTGTGTCAGCCATGTAAGAATCTCAGTGTCTTGGGAACGTGAGCCCAACTTGAAATACACTTCCTTGAAAGGCTTATTTTGTTTTGGGATAAGTCTCATGCCAATCTGTCCTGCCAAGAAATTATTGCTGTTGAACTGTTGGTTTTCATTGCTGTCAAACATAATCTTACAAGAAGAGCAAGGTGGCAGCCACCCTCGAGGGCCACCTGGGAGAGGAGATCTGGATGGGATTTTCTTAGAACCCTCCGGGGAATTAGAAAAGAAAAAGGAAAAGGAAAACCTAGAATGGCTGTGGTCTGATGAACACTGACACTCATGGTCAGCTGAACCACCCACCAGTGGCAATGAGTAGTTCCAGTCCATTTTCAATGACCTAGAACCAGCATTACTCAGGTGCCTGAAGGAGAAGGCCAGATGAAGACCTGGAACTCAGCTGCAGCTTAGCTTTGGGCAAATGCTTAGATTTCTTCTTTATTCCAAAAGAAGATGTCCTGCAGTGTCCTGCCTAACACACAAAGGTTGGGAAGAATAAAGCAACAATGTACAGCATTCAATATTTGTCCAGATCTGGGCTACTGGGCTACTGGGCTACTGCAGAAGGGACACTGGACAAAATCAGTGTTGATGCTTCCTTTGCAGTAATGCCTCTAAAAACACTCGGAAGCATGAAGAGGTAAACTTTTATGCGACTGGTCTTATTCTCTTGACTGTTTTGATTCTATAAAAATTATTCAAGTGCAAAAGCAGTAGAAAATTGGTAACTCAGAATTCGTTCAGAAGAGTTGTCACATCAGGCCACATTCTAGGAAGAGTTAACAATTAGAAGTCAAAGATTTTAACTTTTCCAGTGCTTATGCTATTTATGTTTCCCTCCCTGGGACTCAGTTTCTTACTCTGTACAGTTGAGAGTTGACCTCCTTTGAAGTACCTTTATAGTTCTGATGCTTTTTGGTTCTTTGAAAGGAAGCCTTATGTTATCCCACAACAGACCGCATGTCACATCATTGTCCAGAATGGTCCCCACTTCTCAGGGAAATGT